CAATACATAAATAAGTAAAATTTTTACAGAAGTAAAGGTAGACCACATCTTCCTGTGTATACATCCCTAGCAACAAAACCACTAACACCAGGGGATGCATTTGGGCTCTTTGTTGCTTCAGAATGCTGAAGAATTACTGTCAATTAGAACAACAGTTACATCCTAGACCCTCAGAGGGGCCAGGATTTTCAGTGCTTACATGGGATAAAGTGGTAACATTTAAAATGCACTTCCCTGGAGGAAGGAGCTACTAGAAAATTAATTACCTCCTTCTCTGCCTCTCTCTCAGCCTCTCTGTACCATTTATAGTAGATTTAAACGCCCATCCTCATGACTTTCTTTCTTTCTTGGAAATTTTTTAATGTAATGTCTGCTAATAAAATGCATTACCAAATACAGGGAAATAAAAACAAAAAAATAATTGAGTAATCTACTAAACCTTAAAAATTTCCCATTGACCTGGGTCAAAAACATAACTAGAGGTGGTTAGTTCATACAATGTGGTTGAAAGAGGCATTGGAGCACACTGTGGAGATATTAATCTTGAGGTCAGTTAGCTGTAGGTTGAGATTCTTCTGTTCTTCATCCACTGGGGACACTGGCAGGTCACCATGACTCTTGAGAGCTGTAGGTATCCACCTTGCAAGTGATATAACATCACTCACTGATAACCCCAGGGCTTGTTGTATGGGTCAAATGAGACAAAGATTGTAACTATGTCTACAAAGTAATAGATAAATTCATGATCATAATGTTATCTCTGTTAAAACACATCTCTTAGCTTGTCATATTAACTTCTTTCCTTTGCAGGGATCTTCTATTACTGTCCAAGCCGTTCATAAGGCCAAACTGTAACTTATTCCCTGAGTAGTGCTTGTTAGAGAGTCTTTATGACACTGTGTTCATATGCCAGTTCAGTCTGTTCTTCTGATTATCTTACAAACAATTTTTTTTTCTGACTGCCTGCTCGTGTTTCGAGTACTTAAGACCTCAGTAAATCCAATATGGTTCGTGATGTTCTACAGGAAGGGTTAAGATCAGAAACTTCCTATTTTTCAGCTAGTAAGTTCATTCCGAATTTCAGACTTACCCTTTCTGTTTTGCCTTTTTCTTTGTCTATAGTGTCTATATAATGTGGCTGTTTTCTTTATCCTCAGACTTGTGAGTTGAAAGCTCTTTGCTTCTAAGTGGCACAGCACCTTGCATCTTCAGTCACTGTGGAGGCCACCATTACGTCTCCCAACTCAAAAAAACAAGTAGCATCATGTAAGTCTTTCTCTTTCAAGGCACTGGGATTCATGCTGTCCATTTCCTTTGGAAAGAATCTCTTAGGCGCTTCTCCATTCTGCATATATGTCTTCAGCATATGTCTCTCTGCCTCGATGATGGAAGCAAGCTTTAGCCTCATTTCCCTATTTTCCCTTCACTCCAGCGCATCCTTGATAGAACTGCCAGTGAAATAAGGATACTGGGTCTAAGTAACAATGTCTTGTCTTCACTGCCATCCTGGTGTCTTGCTGGGTGGTGTGGGCTTTTCATCCAGCTCTGAAAAGCCTAGAGGGGAGCTGTGTAATGTGGTTTAGCCCGAGGAAAGTTCTGCTTCAGGGAATATGCCGATGTATCATGGTATTTAGCTCCAGGAAAGTTTTGCTATAGAGAATGCTTGCCCCTGATTATTTCTCTAGATGGCTTGCTTTGTTCACCCCTGATTTCCCCCCTATATGGTTTGCTTTTGTTGGGTTTGGGACCCATCCCAAAGCTTGTAAAAGCTTTGTACAAGCTACTTTCTGGGCTGCAAGTCTTTGGGGCAGGAGTTCCCCAGCAGTCTCTGGCTTCCCACTTTCTAAGAAAGACTCTCAATTTGACCTCTCAAAATGAGGCTTCTCCTTATCTCAGGAGCAAATCCCTGTATAACACCAGACAGGTTTTCATGCCCTGCTGATTCTGACCCACAGTGGCTATTCCCCCTGCTTTGGTTTCCCTTAACTCCTAGTGGTATAAAGTCTAGATCACAATATCACATATGTTCACATGGCAGCTCATAATGAACTCCTAGTGGCCAAGATGTGCCTTAGGGATCAGTAATTGTATTTGCATAAAGGCAGTTTCTTCTTGTAAAGAGATGGACTTGGAAATAAATCTCCTCTGACATGTGGCAAAGGCAACCTCATGAAAGAGTAAAAGATCAACATTGAGGTGATTGACAGAACATCTTTTACTTCCTGTCTTTGCAGGGGGTAAAAAAAAACAACAACAACAACAAACCACACCAAAGCTAATAGCCTGGTGAGAATGGCTTCTTTTGAGAATGGCACCTGGTTGGCAGAAATCGTAAGACATTAACATTCTCAAATGAGCAGAAGATAAATAAACACAATTTTTTTTTAATGGACAAGTTGCAGCTCGGAAATTTTTTACTTTTTCTCATTGGAAAATCAATACCCATCAGCAGTTTGAAATTAAGGGCAAGATTAGGCCTCAGTTTTATACATGCCTTATTGTATTCCAAAAGCTTTCTACTCAGTCAGATAAATCTTCTTTAAGAGGATTAGGAAACTTTCATTATCTTTATCTAACCTGAAATAACACTAAGGCTGAAAAATTAATCTATAGGCTGGACAAAAGCCGATAGTTGCTGGGAAAAAGGACTCTTGGGCTTCTTTCTCATTTAACAGTGGGGTCTCCACATCCATTCCCTCATAATTCTACTGGTTTTGGTGTTGCATTGCTAATGAAGACAAGATAGACCACAGAAACTTGAGCTTCTTCTCCATGGCTGACCCTTCCATGGAAAAGTTAACCTGCCTACAGTTCTAGCAACACCTCCTTGTTCTCCTTCTCTTCCTCCTTCCACCTGATGATTTGCATTTGGATTTCCCAGGCCATTTAGATGGGTAGCCAGAGCTATAAAGAGCAGGCTCTGAAATCTAGAGCCTGAGCAGGTAGCTTATAGGGTAGGTGAAGTTCCTGCCTCTGTCTTTCCCATCCTCAGACTTTAGTAACCAAGGCTAGAAGGCTCCCAGGAACTACAAGGCCACAAGGAATTACCCTGGCATTCTGTGAACAACATTATCCTCAGAGCCCTCACCAAGTGCTTTATAGCCTGTAGTGACTTTGACATGCTCACACTCTCTGTCCTCTTCCTTGGGAAACATAGCCTTTCTCTGTTTCTGTCTGTTTTCTGTACAATGCCTGACAGTTATATTTTATTTCAGTGCTGTATTTCCTGAATGAGAAGACAACTTTGTTGTCAAGGCCATGGAAGTGCCACTGAAGTGTCATTTCCAACGTGGAGAATTTCTGCTCTTCTGGAGTTGAACCCAGGTGGCAGGTGGGTGGTAAGAGCTCACAGGTCCTTGTTTTTGGCATCCCCAGAAACTTTCAGCAGATGTCCCAGCCCATCCTTGATGACTGAGCTCACCCAGTGCCCCCATCATCTTCTGAGGAAAAGTGTTGGATGTGCCAGTTGCCTTTGTGTCCAGATGGCAGCCAGTCTTGTGGCCCTCGAGCTGTGATCATCAACCAGCCATACCCTGGGTGGTACACATATGGAGAATGGGAAGCAGCAGCATCTAGAGATGCCTGTCATATGGCAGGCTCCTGTAATGTCTGAAAGCATGGAGACATGAGAGGACTTCAAGGACAGATGGAAGCCGATATTCAGCAGTGCGGCTGTCTCTGGGTCTGCTGGAAGACAGAAGTTGCAGCAGACAGATCCCCGGCCCAATATGCATCGTCAATAGCCTACAGAGGAGGACCTAGCAACGCAGACACTCAGGAGCCGTTCTAGCCAAATGAAAGAATAGTGTTCGGAATGGTGCACGTGGCTGAGCAGAAACAGATGTGTCTCCTTAATCAGCCAACCATTTCTAGATACCAACTGAAATGAATAACACCGTCTTTTTTAAAAAAACAGATCTGGGGAAATCTCTTAGCTAAACATGGATACCATACACATTTCACAATCTAGAGTGCTCAAAATCTGTTGATTCCATGACAAATGAGATCAGATATAAGGAACTTGCTACAGACTAAAGGACTCAAGATGACCCTTTCCAAGAGCTCAGTGTGTGTCCCCAAGATGTCAGCCAGACACTGGAAGAAAAGACATTCTTAGTCTCTCACTTTGTGGAGGAACACTGAGTGATGGAATTTATCTCTCAGAAGCTCATTCCCACTCTGAGACCATATGTGACAGAAAAGTTCTTTACACAACAATGGCAGTTGGATCAGTTCAAAAGCAATTCATTTTGGACTGTTGCTTGTCAACGTAGTTCACAAATCCTTAGAACTGATGTCTGCAATTGTATTTCCTAGTAGTTAACATTGGAGCTTATGACACTTCTATCCCATTTTTTTCAGCTACAAAGTAAACTGTTGTAAAAAGCACATGTGATGCTATGTCTGAACTATAGTGATTCATGTTTAACCAAAGATTGGCAAAGATGCTAAGCTATTCTTTGCTCCTTCCTTTTTAATGACAGAAGTTTATTTCCAACATTGACCTGGATACATTTGTTAGAATATCTCTCTCCACACCAGGCTCCACAGTAGCACTAAGAGCAAATGAAAGCATAAATGCATAATATCAGGAGGACCCAGCTGGCCAGTACCCAGAGACTAGTCCACAACATGGAAGATCAGTAACTATTTGGAAACAATCAGGTTACACAATTTCATGTCAACATTAACCTTTTATTATGAAATAAGTCTCAGAATGATCATTCAAGAGCTGTCTGAATAGTACTGTATTTATCTATGCTGGAATATATCTTACCCCAGCTATAGAAAGCTAAGTTTCTTAAGAGACTTCAAACAACTTACTGATCACCACAGAAGGACTAGAGACAAAACTTTTCAAAAACTATCCAGTTCTCAGTCTGGATTCAATAGAGCAACAGAACCTTTTGTATCTTCATATCTGTGTAAAGCAAAACCAAGATCCCTTTTCCTTTCCATTACTAAATGGAAGTCCAACATCTGGTCTAGTTGTGACTTACCTTGCACTATGAGATGGACCCGAGAAGTCTTGGGGTGATTGTCAGTCTGCACAGAGCAGGTATATGGACCTTCATCATACACATCCACGTTTTGGATCATGATGCTGTACTGGGTTGGTGTGTTGACCAGGATGATGACACGAGGGTCTATGGACCACTTGTCATTTCCAGCGTAGAGAATTGTACTGCGGTTGAGCCAGGCCACCCTGGTAACCCGGTCATCTATGGTACACCTGTGGATGAAGTGGGGAAAGGATAGGGAAGGAGGAAGGTAGGAAGGGAGAGAGAAAGAGATGAGAGATTAAACTCCCTATTTACATGATGGCATAATCAAATTAAATCATCGGATACTGATGAAACAGCCTAATGTAAGGTAAAGGAGGCTTGAGACATCCTGAAGAATCCCTGACACAAAATCATTTTGACTTGACTCCAGAGCGTATTATGTGAATATCTTTGCTGCACATTTGCTTTCCTCCTAGGCATCTATAAAAATTAGTTTATATTTCTGCAGCACATTTACCACCTTGTGGGAAAAGTGGCCCAGAGGCACAGGGGAAAGAAAAAGTAGTACTAGATTTCAAATAGGTCACAGATAATCCACAAAGCAAATATTTTATGTGTAGTTAATCAAAATGTGAACTTATTTACCTCCAGAACTCCCAGGTGTCGATAATCTCCTTGCACCCCTAAGCTGCCCAAAGCCTGCAAGCTATAATTCATAGTGTGGATTGCTAAAATTCTCCTTGGAAAGTCAACACTTCCCGAGGAAGCTGCCACCTCTGACTTCAGGGAAGGGAAGAAGGAGTTTATCTTCAGTGACCTTCCTTTATACCTTCCTCCCTCTGCCCCACAGAAAGAAAGAGATGCATATTATCAAAGTCAAGAACCTACCTCACCCATTCTCCCCAACCTTGCAAGACTACAGATAGAAGTGGAATGCTTGCTGCAGTGAATGACCTATAGGCTGTCAACTGCAAGATAAGTATTCAAGTGTCTTTTTTCTTTCTTGCTATTGTTTCTAACATATTTATAAGATGATTTCTTTGTTGCTTTGTATGTCCCTCCCCCATGGTATAACCCTTGCTTTTATTGTATTTGATGTTGGTATAATTTGTGGAAGGGAAGGGCAAAAACAAACTGTTTAAATAGGGATACAGGTGGACCCATTGCAACAATGAGATGTATAAGTCGTTATGTTGAAAAACGAACTTTACAACTTTGCAGGGGGGGGGGCGGGGGAAGGGAGGGGGGACACATATAGGAAGGGATGGGAAGAGGAAACAAAGGAGGAGGCAACAATGCTTGATAAGAAATGTATTCATTACCTTGCCCATGTAATTGTAACCCTTCTGTACAGTATTTTCACAATAAAAATTAAAAAAAAAATAAACATGCCTGCTGGTGGGGAAGAACATTTGCAGATGTGCCTTGGGAGCTGAGAACTTAAGACAAGAGAATTCTTTACCAAAGCGAGTACACTCTGAGGGCCAGTGTGCTCACCCACTTCCCATCCATACAACATGGTGCATGCAATGTCAGAGACACTGCATTCTGCCTAAGAGAGGACTAGATGAGAACTAGAATATGAAAGTCTGGCCCCACTAAATCTGACCTGGCACTTCACATGCTACAGAGCTCATGCCCGGCAGAGGGGAAAATACCTAGGAACAGGCAATGACAGAGACCAACCTCACATGAACAAGATGGGTCCAGAGGCTTGGAACACTGAAAAGACTGACCTGGAAGGAGAAAGCACCCCCCATTCTAGAGAGAGCCTTTAAGAAGTTGGCAGGAGGGATGAAAATCATACTTTTAGCCACTAAGGTCTTTCGTCACTCAGCAGGGATAGGTAGCTGTGAAGTTGGGGTGTGCTGATAATTAGGTGCTTTCACATGGTAGTGCGGAAAGATTGTTCCTTTCAAACTGATTATTTTTCCATTTGCTTTGTTTTCAAACTACACAGGTAGTATCAGTATGAAGTGAATGACAGATGGATAATATGAAAATCATAGAGGGCAAATGAATCATTCCCGCCACATCAAACCCTGGAACCTTGAAATTCTTGTTTCAGTAATACCCTGTTGTTTCTTCATACAAATATCAAATCACAAGTAGGAAGCAGGAGTTGGTTTGTTTTTTACAGGAAGCAGAGCCTATGCCATAGCCTCATGCTCCTGTGACACACTTTTTTTCCTTTTCACTGTGACCATGAATATCCCTCAACACTGGTATTTATAGATCTAATTCAGTGTCATTCCCAGGTAAGTCTAATATAGGTAATATCACTGAGAGTATCTTTGAGAGCCCAACTGTATTCACTACTAGGACCTGATAATTTAGGTATTCAGGTGTGTCATTGATAGAAGGCATGCCTCCACACTCCGGGGCCCTTCATTTATTTTCTGCTTAGTGTTTTCTCCATTTGAGAGTGATTTTCCATTTTTCTTATAAAAATTAAAACCTGAATGGCCCTCTTTGTTCTTCACTTATAAGATATTCTTTCACTGTCTGTTCTAAGTGACTGATTAGGACCAATGTACAACTTTTCTTCATCACGCCTGAACTATATAAAGACAAAGTTCCAGTTGGAATAGTTCCTCTCAAAGAGTGACATTCCAACTGGATTCCAGAAGCCAGACAGACAGAAAAGCCGGAAGTGGCTCTGTGGCTCAAAGAGTGCTAGCCTTGAACAAAAAGAGCTCAAGAACAGTGCCCAGTCCCAGGGTTCAAGCCTTAGGACCATCAGAAAAAAAAATCATATAGTTCTTTGAAATATGTGCAATCTATAAATATATATTCAGTGGAAGTTATAATTCACAGTGTCTAACAGTCATGATTATCTACTTTCAAATGGTATGACCACTCTCTCTTCTGCTGCTTCTGTTTCTGCTTCTTATTTGGGGGAGGAGCTGTAGTAAAGTCTGAACTCTGGGCCTCAAGGCTGGTAGCTCTACCACTTAAACTACTTCAGATTTTTTTTATTTTTTTAAATTTTTTATTGTAAAGATTCTATACAGTTACATGAGCAAGGTAATGAGTACACTTCCTATTGAGCATTGTTACCCCCAGATTTTCTTTTTTTTGGGTCAGTCATGGGGCTTGAACTTTGGGCCTGGATACTGTTCCTGAGCTCTTCAGCTCGAGCTCTCTATCACTTGAGCCACAATGCCACTTTTGGTTTTCCGGTGGTTATGAGTCTCCTGGACTTTCCTGACAGAGTTGGCTTTGAATCATGATCCTCAGATCTCAGCCTCCTGAGTAGCGAGGATTACAGGCATGAGACACCCATGCCTAGCATCTTCCAGCTTTTTGACCTTTAATTGTAGATAAGAATCTCATGGAATTTCCTCCCCAGGCTGGGCTTCAAATCATGTTCCTCAAATGTCATTCTCCTAGGCAGTTAGGATTTCAGGCATGAGTCACAGGTTCCCTTCTTTCCTTCCTTCCCTCCCCTCCCCTCCCCTCCCCTGCTTTCCTCTCTCTCTCTCTCTTTCTTTCTTTCTTTCTCTCTCTCTCTTTTTCCCTCCATTCCTCCCTCCCTCCCTCTCTTCCTCCCTCCCTTCCTTTCTTCCTTTCTTTCTTTCTTTCTTCTTTCTTTCTTTCTTTCTTTCTTTCTTCCTTTCTTTATCTTTCTTTTCTTCTTTCTTTCTTTCTTTCTTTCTTTCTTTCTTCCTTCCTTCCTTCCTTTCTTTCATCCTTTCTTCCTTATTTTTTGTCTGTGCTTGTCCTGAGGCTTGAACTCAGGCCTGGGCAATATCCCTTAGCATTTTTGCTCAAGGCTTTCTCTTTACCGCTTAAGTGACAGCTCCATTTCTGGCTTTGTTTGTTGTTTGTGTGTGATTGGAGATTAATGTCCCATAGACTTTCTTGCCTAGACTGGCTTCAAACCATGATCCTCAGATCTCAGTCACTTGAGTAGCTAAAATTACAGGCACAAGCCACTGGTTCCTAGCTCCTGCTATATTTTTAAAGTCATTAAAATGTGCCAGGCACCTGTGGGTCTTGTTTGGAATCCCAGTTACTCAATAGGCTGAGACCTGGAGGATCTCCATTGGAAGTCAGCTTAAGCAGAAAAGTCTTTGATTCTCCTTCTCTAGTTAACCAGCAAAATGACAAATTGAGGTGTGGCTCAATTGATACAGAACAAGCCATGAGCCAAACAAGAGGCCCTGAATTCAAACCCAATTTGACCACAAAAATAGTCATAAGAATAATCATTGTTTATTTCTTAACTTGAACTTGTATTGCCATTTTATGTACTCATCAGGATATATTTTATGCTTGAAAATCATTTATTGATATTCTATCATATTTATATGCAACAGAAATACATAGAATGAAACAAATTTATGTTATGTGTATGATCATAAACTCTCAATAATAACATTTGCTTTCAAAATGAGTTATCATTACAAATATAAAATTGATTAAACAACATAAATACATTGCATATTTGAGTAGTACTTAAAAAGTCAGCTTTTACTATATAATTCCTAGTTATATGGATATGCCATTTTTTAAATCCCATGAATAAAAATATCACTTACTGCTAGAAACTGATAGCGATTAGGATCAATTCTATTTCTATTTCTTTTTTTAGAGAAACCTTGTTCACATAAGCATGAAGAAGGAAATAAAAATATCTGTATGGCAATGAAGCTCAAGTCTTTGAATTCCTTCCACTATATATGCCAAAAATCACATAGTAATCTAGCTCCAAAAATTATCTTAATGATCTCACAGCTGACAATTGAATTAGTTCCTCTTTCAGTTTCTTTTAAGGCAATGAGTTGGAAAATACTTGACTGGCAAAGGGATTTGTAACCTAGTATTGCATTCATTCAGTTCTCCAGTATTCAGAAAGACATTGATAACATTTCACCAGGTTTTATCAAATGACTGCTAAAGATAAGTTATTCTTTCACTGGAAGCTCTGTGTTTAACCCAATGAATTCACAGAAGTTTAGAAAGTCAAAATACTATGTACTTTAGTGTAATAAGCCATACTGTCCTTTGTTTAACAAAAAAGAAGGAGAAAGGAAGGAAGGAACTAAAGAAAGAAAACTTCTTTGTATCAAAGTTTACATTCATGGTGGAGAACTTGCCTGGGTTTACCATATCTTTTGTTACCAATTCAGTAATGGAACATCGCTTCTAGTTCAATTTTCTCTTCAGAGAAAATTGTCATCTTGTTAGTGACAATCAGAAGATGAGGATGGTGAAAGAAGGA